GTTCATACTTTCAGTGTGTGGTAGGTCTGTGAATTGCTGCCACAGTCCTCAACTTCTTTCCATCTGCATGTGCTTTAGAACTTTCAGTCCTCGATGCAAGTGTGCTAAAAGAGGGAACCCTCTGAACGTCTGTCCGTCTTTCTTCTCCTCTGACGTGTTGAATAATGGAAAGTTGCAGGAGGAGCGCTTCTAGGCAGAGATGGTGACATACGGACCCAGACACGTACTCCGGCACACAACTTGGTCAGCACAGATGAGTTGTGGGAAAACAAGCAGCTGCGGGAGGAAGAATGGACCATAAGGCTCGACCGCTTGCCAAATTTCATCATCTATTATGGATTGCCTGAGAAGCGTTCTCCACTGCGACCGGGGGCATGTCTGAATCACATGCAACCGCAAATCCGCACCGAGCACAGAGCTATTGGAGATGTGCTGTGAGTCTGCCTAGCTTTATGGAATTTAACATGTTACGACAGAATTAAAGGATTTAGATGGTTGAAATGTCTTGCATTGAAATACCCCTGCAATTTCAAATCAGATATAACACGGATTTACTGACTTACTGAGAGATTTATTGCCTGTTTGCTCAGAATGATAAGTACAGGATAAATCTGATCAATTTATTAAACTATAATAAAAAGCATCAGAGCAAATCCAAATTGATCTTTCTTCTTTGAAAAGATACAACGCAAAATTTACATGCTACACGATTTGCCGTTGTCCTTTTTTGTTTTATAATCCTGAAAGAAACATATTTGTCTTTTCCCCCCTAGTAAAAACAAAAAAATGCATCTGTACCATGGTACAATGATAATATCAGACAGTTATCATTAATGGTACTTTCATATAATGATATATACAAAAAGTCGATAGTCAATATAAGTAAGAATTCACAATATACCAAATGAGCACAATCATATTCATGTGGTACCCTAAATATCTTCAATGAATCAGTTCAAAGAATTATGATATAACCATAGTACATGTTCATAAAAAAACCATACCACTTTTTTGTTAGTGCTATTCCAAAGAATATTGCATCATTACATGGAAAGTCTATATCTCTAAAGTAAAATCCCACTCCATCAAGGCAGATATATCCCTACCGTTCATTACCAACAGCACGTGAGCTCTCTCGTAAGAAGCTGAACTAAAGCAGTGTCGAGAGTTTCTATATCTTTTCTCAGGGACCACTTTGGCAGGCACCATCTCCGCACAGCAGTCAATTGCCTTGTAAATTACGGGGCCGGGGTAATAAAAACTGATTTGTATATCATCAGGAGTGGAGAGTGTGTCTGTCTTGTAAATTTAATTAAACAGCAGGTGCAAAATCAGGTCATATGGCTTTGATGTGCCCCATGTGAGAATGACAACCAGACAAAGATTCTAATATGGGCAGCATTTACATATTTTTGCATGGGCGCTTTTACATTGGAACAGCCATCACCTTGTCGTGCATCGAATCCCCCCCACCCCCCAAAAAATCAAACAGGATTCAAATGAACCGTCACCTCCAATTTTAATAGATCTGCACCAACGTTTAAGCTCTTCTCAACAGCTTTAATGTTGCATAAATGCACCTATTATAGTCGGCTCACTCGTACTGAGACGCTTTAGCTGATACAAGGCAAATGATCAGCTCATCGGATACACAAAATATGTAAATAAACTGGAAAATATTTAGGTACCTGCTATCTGCGCACATACTAGGCTTCCTCTCAGGCTTGCAAAGCAGTGAAGCTAGAAATCATCCTTTTATTGGACGATGTGACCTGTGACATCAGTCCCGCCTCTGTCCCCACAGGACCCCATTGATTTGATTTGACTTGCAAGAGGTGTCAGATTCTGACCTGATGGCAACACCCATCTTGTGCTTTTACTTTCTACTTTCTTGTCTTTTTTTCTAGAGGAGGTGCTGGATAATTACCACCTAGGATGTTGCCATCTGTGCCGCCTTTTCACGGTCTGTTAACTTGCCTCTCAAAAACTTTTCTGGTGGCAAGGGCCACGCATGTAAGAGAGTGCGCATTCAAGCATCATTAAATCCTATGCTAAAGAGGATAGACTCTACTTATGGCTCAGAGCAGTATGTCACGCCGCCTCAAAATAGGCCGTTGGAAAATCAAGTCCCAAAAATGTAATCAATTCAATGTGTTTTTGAACATCGAGGTCAGGTTAGCGCGATCCGCTCCAGATCGTGCTGCCATGCGCTTGTCTTTCCAAAGTCAGTCTGACCTTATCCACCTTATGTCCAGTTAGACAGTAAATGTGCGTAATAAACGTTGCTATCCGAGAGCCGTAACTTTATTGTTCTGTCTTCTAGAGCGGCGGAGATCGAGTCTGACCCGACCGCCAACAATTGCGGTGTTTTGTTGTGGTGGAAATCTGTTATTAACAAGCTGTCGGGTATTTGTACTGACAGATTCTTTGTGAAAGCCTCACTTAGGAAACCACGGTGTCAAGCTGAGCAAGTTTTTAATGAGAAATGCCAAGCAAAACACGGCACGCTGCTGCAGGAGCGAGGATGGGTACAGGTGCATGGCTGGAAGCGGTAGATGGCTCAATAGCCAAGAGAGAACATATCTGTGTTCAGGATCTCCTCTGATTATTGCCACACATCATCAGAGAAATGAAGCAACATCAACACAGGTGCGTGGCAGAGGTTTATGGGAGCCAGTTTGACACATTTTGTGAAAGCTCGTGCTGTTTTATTGCTCGGGATGCTTGCTGCGCCACGCAAAAAATCCAGCAGCGGTACATTATCTGATATGAAGCAGTTCATCAAAGCTAAAGCTATGATGAAAAAAGAAAATATCACACCAGAGAAATGATGATTGTTTTTCTGCTTTGAAGGAAGTATTTAGTTATGCTTTTAGATCACGTGATGTAATTGATAAAAGCAAACAATCACAATTGACCCTTCGCTAAGCTCCACCCCCTCTGGTTGCTCTTGCAATTTTACAGGTTTATAGTTTAGAAAACATCCCATAGGAACGAACTGGAAATTAAAATCGATTGTATATTATTCGTTCATGAGCTGGAGTGATTTATGGCATTGCAAAGCATTTTTATCTGCTGTTTTCTTAAAGTGAAAGTTGCAATGAAATGAAAGTGGCGGCAGATCGCTTCTTCTGTTTTGTGACTTACATCTAAAGTGAAATGGATTATAAAAAAAGAGAATAAAATGCAGGGTAGGGACTTGGTTTTATGCATCGGTTGTTGATCATGATCGTGTGAGCGTGGCACTCAAAACGGGGAGTGGTGGGGTTTAAGCAGACTAAATGATTGGAGAAGTCCTGCATATGTCACCAGAAAGAAGTCATGTTTCACTGGAAGATCCAGTTATGACATTTTGATATAAATAACTTTTTTTTTTTATAAAAATTAACCATGTAGGGTGAACCGTTCACAGTTTTTTCCATGACAACTTAGTAATCACGAGGTACTACGATTAAAAACTGTTGATACTTCAAAACAGAATCGAGTCAGTCAATTGGCAAGAGAAAATAATTGTGAACAGTGAACAGATCCTACTGTTCCTACCATTCCTTTGACACATTCACTATGGTACTGCAAACTCTTTATTTACTAACTCACTATGACCTGAATCAACACATAAAATGAAATTACCTTATGTTAAATAAGTCCCATTAATTGACCTTGGAGCAATTTTCAAGTTCTTGCGTTATCATTTAGGAATACATACAACACGAACTTCTCAAGACTTGTTTAAAAAAATTCTCTCTGGTTACCTTTTCTAATTTTGCAAGATAAGATAATTTCATAAAAATGTGTACAAAACTATCAAAATCCTGATCTATCAAACGAACTTGAATAAACCAGCTTCAACTGCAACTGGTCTTTGCTGGTTTCAGTTGGTCTTTCAGCATTGTTAAGCAAAGCAAGATGTTTAGCAGGAAAATTACCCAAAACCCTCTAAAAAACAATTGTCAATCATTTAAGAGCTTGAAAATGGCGAATAGTTGTTAAGGTATTATTGGTCCATAACGTTTGAAGGTGTGGCTTTGTGAAGGCTCGAAAATAAAGATGAGCTCACATTGATTACTTTTTCTCCATTAAAAAGATCCAGCTCTAGCATATGCAATAAATTCCAGTCCCAGGGTGTGTCCATTGATTTATATGGATACGCCTAAACAGTTCTAACCCAAAACACCTACAAGTCCAATAGAAATGTCATAAACTCAGGTGAAACACTCCAGGCATCATCCGTGCTGAGTCCTGGAAGCAGAACTTTACTATTGACAAACATGACAGTTCCTCTTCATAATGAATATGATCTAGCTGCAGCCGTTGTAGATGGGCTTGATGTGTTGGCAGGTTTGTACAAACAAGTGAGTGAAAGCTACATTTGGAACGCTCGACTATAAGCAACATGAGGACAACGACTCAAACCTGGATTGTGGTTTAACAGCGTTGAACCGGGCCAACAGCATTATTGCTGGCAGCACGTTTGCTTGCGTAAGCTGAAGGCTGAAGGGGCAGGTCAGGGGAATGTGTTGTGTCATCTGTAGGCCTGAACGCGTCTACACTGCACTACAGACCTCAATCCATCATCAACCTCATCATCTTCCTAATTAACTTTACTCCCCTGTGGAGACAACTCAGCAGCAACATGCCCTCATCCAATCAATCCCGTCATAGACAAACCCACAGCAATCCATGCACAGGTATGAATGAACAAATCTTATTATGTTCAACACATTCCCAAAAGTGGTTTTGTGAAGCAGCCAACATGGTTCTACATGGTTCTTCTTGCTTTAAAAGATGATCAGAATGGACTTTGTGATGTTTTTGCTAATGTGTCGTTCAATGAGTAATTCTAGTGAATGTATGTAATTAATTTAACTATTGTGTGGTGGCAAAAAACTGAAGGATTATTTTATTTGCTTCACTTTCCATACAAGCGAATATTTAAACATGTTAACAAAATCTTAGAATTAGAATCTCAGATTTATTCAACCCCTTCATGGCAAGCATCTTTAGAACTTAGTAGAACACCCTTTTGCTGTTACGACCTGCTGCAAATGAGATGTATAACCAGACACCATCAGCTTCTGGCAGCGTTTCTGAGGAATCTTTGCCCATTCCTCATGTGCAATGGCCTCTAGTTCAGTAATATTCTTGGGTTTGCATGCTGCAACCGCCCTCTTCAAATCCCACCTGAGATTTTCTGTGGGGTTCAAGTCAGGTGACTGTGATGGCTACTCAAAGAATTTTCAAGGACTCATTCTGCAACCAAACGTTGGTGGAATTTGAGGTATATTGTTTCATTGTCCTGTTGGAAGGTCCAATGATGCCCAAGTTTCAGCTTCCTCACCGACGGCATTTCGTTTTCTTCTAGGATTTCCTGATACTTCAATGAATCCATCTTGCTTTCCACATGCTGCAGGTTTTCACTGCCAGACGACGCAAAGCAGCCCGAGAGCATCACAATGCTGTAGGCAGAGTGTTCTTTTCAGAATATGCTACATTCTTCTTCCTCCAGACATACCGCTGATCAATAGGGCCCAAAGGTTCCAGTTTTGTTTCATCGCTCCACAGAACAGAATCCCAAAACTTCTGTAGCTTGTTTATATGACTTTGAGCACTTTTCTTGTGCTTTTGGGTCAGTAGTGGTGTATGTCTTGGAGTTCTGGCATGGAAACCACGTGTGTTTAGGACTCGCCTTACTCTGCAAGCTGAAACCTCAGTGGTGGGTCACAGTGGTGTAAAATATCTGAGTATATGTAATTAGTTACTTAACTCTTTTTACTTAGCATTTTGACTACTTTATATTTCACTGTGTATCAAAGATATTGGCAACCTTTTCTCTCTATTTGAATGCATTTTTGAACAAGTTTATGAACTTTTAACTCCAACACAAATTTACTTGTTACATTTTTCATGGCACATAACTTTTGCAGCAGTTTATTTCTATTATAAACGAACAAATCTACTTTACATGAATGTGAGTACATTAGCAGGTAGCTTCTGAATCACAGGTGTTTGATTTATGAGATGAGGTCATGACTGTATAGCCAGTGCTGAGGCAGAAACCAGCACATCCAGTCCAAGTACACTTTGACTAGTTAATTTTACTTAACATTATTTTATTGTTTCCATTATTTCGAAGATAACATTTTGATGGATAATGGTTACTTATGGCCTTTTTGAGCACAAGTGTTTGTAAATGTTTAAGAGGCTGTTGTGTCGACCTTGATTTATTGCAGTTTGATTTATTAACTGTTTCTTATTTTTACTGGCATGTCTCGTAGGTATTGAGGAGTATTGCATCTATGAGCCTACGTTCAGTACAAGTAAAATTTAAGTACTCTTAAAATCAGATATTCTATGACTTTTACTCAAGTGATATTGAAATCGGTGACTTTTAACTTGGATTCATTTTCAAACTTTTACTCAAGGATGGTTTTCTGGTACTCTTTACACCTCTGAATGGTTTAAGCAAACTTTTTTTAGGCAAACTAATTTGTGACAACGATCTTGTTTTTTTTTTTTTTTTCCCCAACACCTCTTGCTGGGCTAATTTTCAGTTACATTTCACAATATAGGACAACTGCAGAAATGAATAAAATCCCCCAATCATTGTTTTTCAGTAAATAATTAACATAGAAAAAATTCTTTCAATTCATCATACAGTGGCATACTTAAAACAGCATGATGTATAGCTTATCAGATGATTATTACACTATATTAAACAGATAAGGCTCTTGTTACAAACAGAAAGTCAGACACTGCAAATAATGTAAACACAAATATCAAGTTAAAAGCAAAAGTGTGGAATTGGTCTCTTGATTCTGCGAAGATGTCAAAATGTAATAGCAATATTTATTATGAATTTAAATAATTGAGTTGTTTATTTACAATGTCAAATGTTAGGATAATAAATATAAAGTAAATATATTACACTAAACATATTAATAAAAAAAGAAATATTAGGAAGATTTGGTATTTTTCTTAGAAATCATCTGACAGGAAAGGCTTGAATCTTTCGTAATGTTGTTTACATTCCAAACTTGTTTCATATAAATAACTTTTTGAGCCCATTTTGCAGCCAAAGTCCTTCTGAAACTTGAAGACATGTCAATCTTAGAGCTTCTTTTTTAAACTTTTATCTCAGCAAGTATATTCATTTGTTCAATGTAGATAGCTGTTACATGTGTGTATTTTATTGTTGAGTTTCAGGTGTAGAGGCCATAACAGTATCAATAGGTTAAGCAAATCCCATGGTTTTCCATGGTTACTGATACTTTAGTTCCCTCACTTGGTAGACTCATGCACTGCAAACATCATGTAATGAAGGGAACATTTGAAGTAATGTTCCCTGTTAATTTTCCCATAAACAGGGAACATTACTTCAAAATCAAATGATAAAAAATAATAATAATTAAAAGATAAAAATGAATGAACCCTGAATAACAGCAAAACCAGACAGAATCCACATTAAAAAAGAGAGATGACCTAAAACAATCTTTTATCATAATTTTATCAGTGATCATCTTTCAGAAGGGTGCAAAGTAAACCCAATGGCTAAGTAATATTAAAGGTGATAATGAAGGGATTATTTTTCCAAGACTATAAGCAAATAGCTCTTAATTACTCTCTTTCTCACACACACTTTACGCAGCCTTTGACGCAGCAGTGACAGAAATAACCCCTCATTAGCAGTTAATCATGTTAACCTGACTGAGTGTGCAGTGATGGGGAGCTAACTTGATTTTGCAACAAGAGATTGATTTCTTACAATTAAATGAACAGGTGCGATGCATGTAGAGTTTCAAAATTAAGAGTTCAGAACAATCTCTCAAATTTATTTCAAACAGACATCGCTAAATAGCCATACTGTCCTTCTTTTCAAATAAGATGTGAAAATTTCAGCGACTGCACATTTTTTTAATTCAAGTGTGTGAGATATTTGAGTAAGAAGATCAGCCTCCGAATAAAGTTTCTCTTTAATGTCCATAGTACTTAGCACATGACACAAAATATGAGATCATATTTTTTTTAACTTTATTGTGAAATATAATTACAATTTAAAATGTTTTCTATTTCGAGATTTAGATAAAAGCTGATCCAGTCAGTGTCACATGATCCTTCAGAAATCCATCTGATATGTTGATTTGGTACTCAAGAAACCTTTATTTTGTACCACATCACGTAATACCACTTCACAGATGATAGAAATTCAGAAGTGTTCGTTTAGAGTCGTGTATTAGCAGTTAGTCATTAGGCCAGATGAAAACCACCTAAGGGTTACTATAAATCACAATCATCAGTCCAGATTCCTAATGTAGGCTACATGAACCCTAACATCAGATGAAATATGCATAAGTTTGGACACATTTGACTGAATTTAGGTTTGTAATGATCTTAAAAACCTTTACATCCTCTTAATACTAAAATGGAAATAAAACACAATACAACATTCTTTAATAAAATACATAATTAATTCAAATGATTCAACATGCTTCCAAAAGGGCAAAGAAAAACACTAGCACACTACCACACATAAAGCAGCTGAAAATATACAGCACACTTGTACGAAAAGGAGCACATTAAATTAATGACTACACTAAAATAATCATAAAATATACATTTAGCTTAGAGCAGGTTCCAATAAGTATTCTCATGTGAGCACAAAACAAGCTGCTCTCATAGTCTCATGGTTCCAGACAAACTTGTGTACACCTGCACCAAAACAATGTACAGAGTCAGGACTCTCGAGTGGAAATTATGGCAAAGGTACTAAACCGCTTTATATAAACATAAAAATACAACTACACAGATCTGCAATTTTGCCTTACAAATGCTTAATTTTTTTAATGTTTAAATGTACATCTTAAAATAAAAATAAAACATTCAGGCTGACCAAATGAAATACATGTGCTGCTGGCTCTTTCCTTCAGATGGTGGCACCTTGTCTAACGATATCCACACTTATTTAAAAAAAAATAAAAAAAAAAAAATAATAATAATAAAATGTCTGTTTAATATCATTGAAGAAGAATAAACGCCTTTATTCTGACAGGATAACTATACTGGTAAGGTTGAGCCTTCTTACAGACTTAAGTGTGATCCAACAGCGCCATCTTTCGGCTGGAGCTATAGTGAGTCTGAGCGTGACATTTACGGTGACCCTCAACATCACAGGTTAAAAAAAACAAAGAAAGAAAGAAGAAGTTGTTTCCTCCGTCTATGGTTTCCACTGATTTTTTGCAACTTCCCAATTTTCTCTGCAGTGGGGAATTAAACAGTGAAATAAACCAGTGTGACCAGGCATAATGCAAACTGGTCCTTCCTGCATACTGTAGCCTATATCAACCTTATAAAACACAAACATTGCGAGAGGAAATATGATTGTGATTTTTTTAAATGCGTTATTTAATGTTAAAAATGATTTATAAAAAAATGCCCCAACCATGATAGATGTTTCACCATTTTCACTATTTGATGGAAAATAAAAGAAATTAAAAGCTTCCTGAATTTAAAAAAAGTAGGCCTACGCTACATTATTGCCTGCACGAAATCCTTTATCCATTGGGTATAAACATTAATAATGCCTTTTTACCATGGTTACATCAATATTACTGATTCATCAATATTAATATTCATCAAAAGGGCACCATTTAATTTTCGGCCCTCTAGTGGTTATAAAAAACAAAACTATGCATTCTGCGGAAGAACAATAGTTGTGCTTCGGCTCTGCGTGACTGCCTGCGGACGAGCATGGTTAACAATTACATTTAATCATTTAGCAGACGTTATTTTACCGCTTTTCATCATTTTATAAAGCAGTTACTGATGCATCTTTCTTGAAAATGACTATGGACTAAGCAGCTCAGGTTGAGTTAGGCAGGTATTCCACCAGTAAGAGTCAAGGTAAGGCTAGATTTAACCACCTAGGCCACGTTTACACAAAGCGGGGTATTTAGCAAAACGAATATTTTCCCCCTCTCCATTTTCAAAAATAACATCGTTCACACACCTGCATAAATATATACTCAAAATTCTCCAATCTTCTTGAAACTCTGGATTCTGATAGAGGGCCATGGGACTTAGACCTGAGTGCAAAAATGGAGGCTCTAGACCCTCCCAGAGCTGAGATATTGAGATATTTATAATGGCATAAATGCTATGTGGTATCTTAATATCTCAGCTCTGGACGGGTCTAGA